TTTCTTGTTCAATTCCTCTAAATTTCAAAATAAGACAAATAGTCTTTCTTATGGCAGTTCAATTTTCCACGATTTAGTAGTTTTTATATACATTTCAATTTGATCTGAATATAATCTATCCTTTTATCTATTAGGCTTTATCCTAATATCATGTTGCATCTTCCCTAAAAAATCATTATTTCTTTGTTCATGATAGCTTCCTTGAAAGTGCATACTTTTTAAACTTTAATCTGTTTTTCACTCTGAATTTGATTCCGTTATTCCTCTAACGATGAACATAATTATTTATTTGAATTGGCCATGCACTTCTTGAATTTCATAGATTGTTAATTGTATATCTGTTTCTAGGTTTGAATGAAACCTTTGTTAATAATACATTTGTTACAATAAATCTATCTATGTTGCTACAAGCATTAAATTTATTAACAAACTCTGCAACCTTTATTTACACACCTGATCAATTTCAATTATGAATATCACCTTATTAATATTAATAAGGTTTCATATTTTTTGGTAAAACAATGTAATAGATAATTTATTTATCTGAATATAATTTTATTTTTATATTTCTTAAATTCAGAAATAATGAACAAATCAGTTTATCTTATACTATAGCATAGTCTAAAATTTGAATACTTTCGTTTAGATAGGTATGTCGTTGTGAGGAATAATAAAATGATTTTAATAAAATTTCTTTATCAATAGTTTTAATTTGTAGTAATCTTCCTCATTCCTTTCGAATATAATCTAAAAAGGTGAAATCCTAAAATTATGAGAAAGTGTAGCATATTCTTTATTTTTGGTAAACAATTGATAATTTACTAACAATTATAAAATAAAAGTGCTAACTTTAACTCAATAGTATAAAAATTATTTTATGGTGGTATGGGAACAAGGTTTCTTCAAGAAATAAGATATTATACTTTAAATTATTTAACATTCAATATTCCTTTAACTAAAATAAAAGAGCACATGAGTTTTAATATTGAATTATTAAATTCTTCTTCAGATTTTATAACTCATAAATAATGATAATCCTAATATACAAGATTCCTCTCTCTCATAAATTCCAGATTTGGTAATGACATTTACTAAAGAGAAAGTGGCAACCAAAGCCAAAACAATTATTGGCTCAAAATTAAGGAAGAGGTCTCTCTTAGGCTGTATTAGATCAAATGAACTACTTAATTAAGATTAAATTGTTGGTTATTTTAATCATTAAATATTTGGAATGCTAGTTAGATCAGTTTTTAACGCCAAATTAGCTAACTATCATATTTGAAGGACTATGTTAATTAAAATAAGATAGCTGAATATATTTGCTTGAAGTTATTCTCAATAATGTTCGACATAACAAATTAAAGCCTTAGATTATCTCTTTTGAATCTATTTGGGCAAGGTTATGAGTAGAATTAAAGATGAAAAGGCAATTCAAATATGACAACAAACTATAAAAGATTTTATTTTGAATGAATGTTTATTTGTAGAATATAGTAAGTCTCAAACAAGCCTATGCAATATTAATTAATTATTATTCAGTTCCTGTATTATCCATTTATCAAAATTATGAAAGATCCTTTGAAGAACGATATTTTTTTAAGCTGCTGTGAACATAATGGGAGATAGGATTAAGTAATTATTTTCACTGTTGCCATCCCTTAAGAAAAAAGAATGAAGGATATAAACGCTAGCTTCTTGGTATTTAGACAGTTATGAGACTGGGCATAACTTTCACATCAATTCAAATTAATCTAAAGAAAAGTTCAAGATTAAATCCAAGTAATTCATATGGTTGTTTTAATAAAGATATGTTTTATTTCAGTTTGTTAAAGCGAGTGGGAATTTCTAAAGTATAAATTTTATCAAATCATTTCTCAAAATTTACTAAGGAAACTAATCAATTTTAATGAATATATCCTTGTTGATCTTATTTAAGATTTAATTAGACAAATTTAGTTAACTCAAATTCAATTAGAATTTTCAAAATAAATAATTTTCATCAACAACTGCTTTAAACTATTATTTATAATATTTCCTTACTTATAAATTTGGACAATTCAAAAAATTTAATGTACTCTTTCTGTTATATGTTTGTTTCTATCGATTAAACTATCACATCAAATATAAAAGAGTAAAGTAATTCAAGGAGCTGCCTCAATAATGAAAAAAACTATTTTAAGTTTGTAAATATTTTTCTCCTAAAAATGTAGGTTTAGATAATTATTATTAATGAAGGTGGATTTTATAAATAAATTTACAGCATAAAAATTTTTATAATTGCTCTTA